GGGTATTTGAAAAGGCAGTTTTGCTATTTGAAAAGGGAGTTTTGCTATTTGGAAAGGGAGTTTTGCTACTGAAAAGGGAGTTTTGCTATTTGAAAAGGGAGTTTTGCTATTTGAAAAGGGAGTTTTGCTATTTGAAAAGAGAGTTTTGCTATTTGAAAAGGGAGTTCTGCTATTTGAAAAGGGAGTTTTGTTATTTGAAAACGGAGTTTTGCTATTTAAAACAGGAGGTTTGCTATTTGAAACGGGAGTTTTGCTATTTGAAACGGGAGTTTTGCTATTTGAAAAGGGTGTTTTGCTATTTGAAAAGGGTGTTTTGCTATTTGAAAAGGGAGTTTTGCTATTTGAAAAGGGAGTTTTGCTATTTGAAAAGGGAGTTTTGCTATTTGAAAGGTGAGTTTTGCTATTTGAAATACGTACCTGCGTGGTACATGGCTGAAAACAAAGAAGTACCAGACAGTAATATTGGCGTACCTCCGGTACATAAATACGCGAATTATCGCACCCTGAGTATTACCCTAGCTCCAACCTAAACAAAAGTCATCATGTTTCCAACATTTCATAGTCAAATTTTGAAACTTTCATGTACCAAACTTTCAACCAAAGAAATAGAACAAGTGAATATATTTGGCTAAATATAAAAAAATACACTACCTGGCAAAGTGTGAACAGGCAACACTTGTCTCTGTATGGTTGCCCCAGGGTTAGAGGTTGTTGTAAATGTTGGTCCACTAGTGTTAGGTTTGATATGAATCTGAGTGGTAGCAGATCTTGCATGACCTTGAGGATGCTGCGCTAAGAGTGACAGCTGCGACAATGATGACGAACCTTTGTTACCAATAATTGTAACTTTTGACGGAGATTGTGATGCAGGGTTGTTTCCTTGCATTTGATTCTGTAACGATGTTGCAATAGTCTGTTGCATCAGCACAGCACCCTGTGGTAATACAGGCGACACACCTCGGAGGTTTGAAGTTGTCATGACAACAGGTTGGGCTGCGGAAGATACTTGTCCTTGCATTGAAGTGGAAGATGGGGAGGACATGATGACAAGTGGAGCACTAGAACCTGGAGGTCTCGTCAAATACTAGTAAGAAATTATTTTTTAATGAGCCCATAGGGAGGACATGTGCCATAGGAGACAAGCTTTCATTGGTAGGGATGCAGCTACCTGATAATATATAAGGAGAATTTCAACGTTTCGAGCGAAGGCCATTCGTGTGTAGTTAATAGTCACATTGAAATTCTCCTTATATATTTTCAGGTAGTTGCATCCTGGTCAATGAAAGTTTCTTTGTTTGATTGGCACTACCACCATTGGCAAAGACAGTTCTAGGGAGACAGTACTGGTAGGGAGAGAACATAGGGCACTTTCCATTTACTGGCCTGAACGGTCAGACCCAAATTCTTTTCTCTGTATCAATGGAAAGATCTGGTCTATGTTTCTCAAATATCTAGCGAAAATGGACTTAATTCTGATGTTATCGAAATTTTCCGGTCAGATAGGTTCGAAGTCCAAATGTTTTGTGTTCCATTCAACAATTTGGCCATTCTGACCGGTCTGGCCATGTTAATGGAAAGCGCTCATAGCCTTGAAGGGTAGGCAGGGGATGCATTAATTCAGATATCATGGTCCTTTAGGATCCAGCTTTATATGGTGTGAGGAGGCGGAGGGGTTAGATTTTCCAGGCGAGACATTGTGGTACAAGTTTCTGCAGTTTTTTCACCAAGAAGCACTGAATGCTTTATGTAGAATAATGCTTTTTTACAGAATTTTTCACGGGAAGACTTACCTGTGCTGATTCCTGAGCTGCTGTGACTTTTGGGAAAAGCAATTTATATTGGTTGATCTTCTGTTGTTGTTCTGGTGTATACGGTCCTGGGCCAAATGACTAACAAACACAGATAAAAAGTTAGCCTGACAAAGCCAAAAGTGAAGGGCTTTGGCTTTCTAAGAGGTAATGGGGTTATTTATACAAGCGAAAATAAGACGCAGCCTAAATAAGCTGTGGACGACTCGTATAAAGTCAATTTACAATAAGCTAAGCTCCTAGCTTTCAACCTTGGCCTTAATTTAGCCACAGCTTGCAAACAAGTTGACCACTTATACGAGACGTTTGCAAAGATTCAAGAAGATACAATAATTTACAATCTATTCAAGCCAAGCAACTAATGCGCGAATCAAATCGAAACCTTGACATCCCCCCCCCCGAGCATACCCCCGGGAATTTGGATTTTGACGTTTTGGTCAGGTCAAATTCCCTACATATATTTGTAATTCCCGTTCAAATACACCACGTATTGGGGAAAATTGGAGTTCAAATACCCCACCCCATGTACAAATTGGAAGCTACAGCATTTCGCAATTTTGGAATTTCAAAGTTTTTCTTTCCTTCAAAAACTCTCTTCAATCGTTCAAAGCCGTTTTCTTGTAGCCAACCAAGGACAAAGTTAATTCCTTTGCACTTGAAGACCTTGAACTCATCCATTAATCATTGACGCCATTTTGGATTCTGCACACGTGTTTAAAAGAAAAATTCAAATTCCCAACCCCCTTCAAATTCCCCACCTTCCACTAGGAAAAAAGGTCAAATTCCCGCCTTCTTAAAATACTAAACAAGCAAATTCCCCAGGTATGCCCGGGGGGGGGGGATGTCAAGGTTTCGATTTGATTCGCGCATAATGGCTTATGGCCCTAATGAGCTATAATAGGTGAACTTTACTACTTAGGTTGATCTTGCTTCTATAAAGTGTCAATGTTTCTTTCATGCCACTTTTAACGTACTAAACCCACAAATGTCAAAAATGAACATCAAATCTGGGGGGGGAGGGGACAGGTTGAGGTTACAATTACCAATTTACTAACAAAGTAACAAACTGAGATTTATTATTAATCTGTATTGTTAAATTCTCAAACAACAATTTAAAAAGATATAGGCATGATATATAAATATACCTGTATTTCTAGCTGCAAATCGTGGAGAGTTTTAGCCACCGTTGACACCGTTCCAACACCGAGATGAGGAGACGACATATTCACGCGATTTGCACAATGTATATTGCCAAAACTAAACAATCTCTATTGCATACAATAACACATAAACATTCTCAACAAAACATCCTGTTTCAGGAGTTATATTTACCCCTCTATCTTGCAAAATTTTCACATTTGCAAAGGTTTTTCGCAAAGCCTTTTCTCCACATGACTAAAATCTTATTTTTGAAAAATACCATTTTTGATCCTCTCCCCAGACTCCTACTAGCATCGCGGTCATACACTGAGCTCTATATAAAATTGGAATAATAGTATCAAGAATATCAGCCATTTGTGAAAGTTTTATAAATTTGCCAAAATATCACTGTATTTCTGAGATTTGAATGATCTTTCAATGTGTAGTTGTTAATATAACATGTCTCGACAAAATTCAGCAAGGGCTGATGGCAAAAAAGTTGTAAGTTTTTGTGTGCTTTTATATATACATTTTATAAAATATTGAAAATTAAATTGTAGTTAATGTAGTGTATATATATCCTCATATACAAAATCTGGGCAGCTGATGGTAGTGGTCTGACAGAAATGTTGACATTTACAGTATAAGAGCAAGAAAATTAACCTAAATCTTACCCGTTTGCCATAAAGACTGCTACATATAATGAAATAACGTCGTCTCAATTTGTGTTGCTTCTTAGAGTTCAGAATTGTTCACATTGACCTATGGTGCATTGGTTGCCCAGCTCGTCAAAGACTTTGAGAGCGATGAAGCTGTCAATAAAAAGTTAGATGAAATGTAAGATATATAGAATGCCTTTAGAAATAAATAATTTTAACATGAACTCATCGATTAATGTCTGTATATTTCGTTAACAATTCCTTATCATTTATGTGCACATGAAGTACCTATTTTTTCATTATTTTGAACAACAGGGGATATAATATTGGCGTGAGGTTGATTGAAGACCTCATTGCAAAAGGGAATGTTGGCAGATGTCATGACTTGAGAGAGACCGCTGATATTATAGCCAAGGTTTGACATTCTGTACGTTTTCAGCACATGAAAAGAAATATTATTTGGCCAGCCTGCTGGTTGGTTTGCCAATCAGCTAGGGTACTTGGTCAATTAGTCAGGAATTAGCAGAGTTTTCAATAAGAATAATTGTAATAGTGGGCTGCGCTTCAAAAATAGGTGTCTGCTCTCAGACAAAATACAAATTGTATAACTTTTTTCCAGTTTCGGCCAGATCCGGTTCTAGCCGGAACTTTAAAAATTGGTTTTGGTGCACCCCTACGACAAATAAATATTAGCCTCCATTAGAGGCCAACCAACAAAATAATTAGCCTCCATTAGAGGCCAACCAGCCAAATTCATTCTTTAATACAATTTTTCCCTGCCTGTTTAGTTGGGTTTCAAAATGTTCCTCGGTGTCACCCCTGTAGTGACAAAGTGGAGTACAGCAGCAGACGAATTCTCTCTAATACTAGAGAACAATCCTTTGGCAGAGTTTGTCGAGTTGCCATCAGGACATGAGAATCTCAATTATTCCAATATTCTGTGTGGTGTGCTGAGAGGTGCCTTGGAAATGGTATGTCATATTATGTTGAGATAAGCCTAGTTTTTTAATATGAATAAAAATGAAACTAGTTCTTTCTAATAGCCATCAAATACAAGCTTATTACATATAATGAAAAAAATTAACTGGTACATTACCTTCTTGTAACTGTCACTTGACAATCATCTGTTGCATCATGACCCACCTATGAGTTTCTTCCATTTTTAGAAAATTTTCTCCTTGCATCAAAAAAAAAATTTCTCCTTGCATTTCTCCTCCACCAACTCAACATCACACTTGTTCATTCTCTCACTCTTGTAATTTTTCTTCAGGTCCAAATGGAGGTGGAAATTAGTTTTGTTCAAGATGCACTTCGTGGTGATGATACAACAGAATTAAGAGTAAAATTTATCAAAAGACTTGAAGATGCAATACCTGCAGGGGAAGAATAACATATAAAAACTACTTTACAAAAGCAACTTACATATTTTTTGGTTAATTTGAAATAACAATTAGATGTGCTAGTATGTACATTATATAATTATTTAACAAAAGACTGTAATTAAAACATACTAATACTTAAGAAAAACTGCTGAAGGAATACTTACACAAAGTTGTCTTCACATTACCACTGCTTTTGTTACTGTTTTTGCTCAAGCTTTTTCAAATAACTGCTATCTATCTGCACTTCAACGTGTTACTAACAGAATCTTTGTGAAAATATAGTTTACAGCATTTTGATACAATAATAAAGTCACACTCTTGTAAACATGAGATTTCTAGGAGCAGGGGTGAAACTTCAGTATTACACTCATTCCATTAAATACTTCTTTATTGCATTGCAAAATTCTAGGGAAGTAGAGTGTAGTAACAAGAACAACAAAACTGCACCAACTTTCAATACAAGCTGATTTTACCTAGAAATGTTTAGTATTGTTATTTATTTTAAATCATTCATGATTTCTGATTGGCTAACAGCCAACTGTGAAATTGTCATATGAACTCAATAACTGACCAAATGTGGAGTTTTGACATAATATTTAACAGAGTGACATCATAACGTTGATATGAAAAATATTAAACACATGACGTCATGTCAATGACGACTGCCGAAGGAGTGAAGAATTGTCACAACACAAATGGTTTCCTACAACTGATTGCTGTTTCATCTTTAATTATTGAATTCGGTTTTTGTATGATATGATCAACCTCATTCAATTTATATCATGTTTAACCTGATTCAATAATTGTTAAATTCTTTTAGAAATCCAATATGCGTCGAACACAGTCTCTCGCAGACGTTCTTATAGCTCTAACCCTCGCTGCGAGGGAGACTACGTTGAACACTGTTTTGCAATTTTGTTGCTTGTATTATTTCATCTTACAATTTAATGCCCATGATTTTGATAAATACATAACTTGTGCTAAACTGATATTTTATACAACACTATATTTACAAAATGTTACCATTACCAAATACGAACGGATAAAATTCATCTCCCAAACAAAATCAGGGGTGTATATTCTTCTATAATTCTCCCCCAGGGGGGAAGGAATCAGTCTTAGGGCCAGGGAAGAAATTCAAAGAAGAGTGAAAAAAGCTGAAAAAGAAAGGAAGGGAAAGAAAGAGGGAAAGGAAAATGAAGAGAAAGGACAAGGGATGAGATTAGAAAGCAGAAGAAGTGAGAAAACTTGGGGATCAGCTCATATTATGTTGGCTAGGAGGGGGAGGGGTATAGACATTTCTATGGGTATAGATGAAGAATGACTCTTTATGGCAAGAGGTTATTGGAGTAATCATGCTTTGAATAGGGATGACGGTGCCTATTTGCCAGAGGAATATATGCATCTCATTGGCAGGTGACGTCATCCCTTGGGTATTTAAGAAGCCAGGATTGCAATTTTAGATCACCCTGATGAAGACACTAGACTGGAGTGTCGAAACGTTGGGTCTTGATTACAATTCGACTGGACTTTGTAATCATTTATTTAAAACAGAGTAGCGAGCGAAACATGATAATGTCAATGGTTAAATAAAATTTTAAAAAGGTGAATATATATTAATGTTTGTGAAACTAAAAACGTTTGTTGAAAGATGAACATAATTTAGAGAGAGGAGTACTTTTAAGGATAACATCTCTAGTTAATATGTCAATAATCGATTATTTTGTTGTGCTGTTTATCATTGAGATGCAGAAGTTCTAAATAAACTGAAAAATTTGTTGTCAAAATCAGCATTGTAACATAATTTTTCTACCTTGTACCAAACTTTTTTTCAAAAATAATTCTTTAAATTGATTGAAAATTACTGGAATAGTAATGGTAGAACCCAGACTCCGCTGCCGCGCCCAAATTTCTTCAAGGATACAGGAAGAAAATGAAAGCTGAAGATAAAGGGGGGGGGGATCAAAGGTCATTGAAGAATATACACCCCTGAACAAAATTGAAAAAATTCATTTTTTCAACAAAATGAATTAGTCAAAATTCAACAAAATTTCACCATCCACCGGATCTGCGCTTTATGCGAAATAATTTTCTACACAGTCTATGCGTAGCATTCTCTTTATAAATATATATTAATGTAATTCTAATATTTTATTGCATATCACCTGTCTTTTAAACTTTCTGCTTTCGCTTGTAATTCGAGGATCACGTTTATGATGCAGTGGCGTTTTGTTGCCATCTCATCTTGCGGGAACCAAGAGCGAAGTTCAATAGGGGTTTTGTAGTCTTCTATTGGATGCTAGAAGGTATAACTATTTTAATACTATTTTACTGACTTTTAATGACTTATTGACAGATGTCCGTTAAGAAGGCCATGTTACACGGTGCAATTTTTCTTGCAACTTGCAATGCTGTTTTAAAAATTAGTGAAATCAGTGAAGAATTTTCAATATGTTGAGAAAACATCAGCGGAGTGTAATGAAGACTCGTATTTGGCAATTTTACATCTCTCAAGAGTAGAATTGCATTGCAAGTTGCAAGAAAAATTGCACCGTGTAACATGGCCTTTAGGAAAATACTATACTGTACATTGTTACATTAATTATTTCTTGTTTATAGTTGTAATATAGTTTATGAGGGCCACTAATTTATCAGTAGCTCACGCTAACTGTCATGTGTTACCCTCGGTAAATAAAGTCAATGAAATGAAATTATTTATGGGAGTGAGTGGGGTGTGCTAATCATCCTTACTTGCAGCTGAGAGCTAAGCTGAATAGATTAATTCAGATAGACTAACAGCTGTCGACTAATTTTCTATCTAGACAAGAAAGACGAAATATATAATTATAGCTCAAAAGAGCAAACTAAAATTAGTAAAATTGCAAAGTTTGGTTGCGAAATGTTGTAAAATACGGAAAATATAGCCCTGTGAAATTAGCAAATTTTCACCATTTTTGAGCCAAAAGTGGTTATTCTTACCGCGCGTAATACTAAAATACTGAAAATTTGCTAATTTCACAGGGCTATATTTTCCGTATTTTACAACATTTCGCAACCAAACTTTGCAATTTTACTAATGTTAGGATGCTCGTTTGAGCTATAATGATAGATTTCGTCTTTCTTGTCTAGGTAAAAAAATTAGTCGATAGCTGGAATTGTCTATTGCGAAGGACGCAGCTCAACCTGATCGAGACGAAGGCTTACTAAGTAAGCCTCTGGCAGCCACCTTGTGACTGTTCACAGAGCACAGCTACGGTAAAAGGGTTAATACTTAGGCAATGTTACACAAGGCAATTTTTGTTGCAACCTGCAAAGCAATTTCGGACACAGAGCCATGTTATCCAAAAAGTGGCCGTAAGGGAATTGTGCGCATGGCCCACATTCTACTCTGCTGACACCATATGTACAATGTAATAGTATTGAATAGTTACCGTAAAGAAGCTCTCAAAATACTGCAAAACATACAGTCCACAGTCAGAGAAATTTTCTTGTAAAGGCACCTGAAAAAGCGTCACATTTTGGAAATGGTTAAGTAGTGGAGGTGTGCTAATCATCCTTGCAGCTGAGAGCTAAACTGAATGGACCATTTGCATTATAGACTAAATTTTGATCTAAACAAGTCTAGATAAAAATTCATCACAGCTTGAAAGAGCATCACAAAATTAGTAGTTTCCGCGACACAGACCTAAAACTGTAGGGAGCCACCTTAAAATAACGATATCATCATTATTATTATTACAGTATCTGTTTGCCTACCTTAGGATAACATCCTTTTAACGTATCTTTATCAAATATAATTTCCACACTGCTATCTTTCCTTTCCCTCCACTCACAGTTCAAATAACTACAACAGGTAAAACATTACATGTGATTTTTGCAATTTTTCCTGCTGATTTATGATTGATACAAGTTGAAAGCAATCCATCATGAGTCACTTTTGCGAGTCATTCGTTTGGATTGTTGACTTTACTACAACTAATCATACTATCTACTTGGTATAGACAGTGCCGCCGAGAGGGGGGCACTTTGCCCCGACCCCCAGCTCAAATCCGGACCCGACCCCCAGCTCAAACCAGCCCCCAAAGCGACGTAATCCCTTAAATTTTCTGGTCATAGGGAAGAGCCTGGGAACGAGGTTGATGACATCATAGGGGTCCCAGGGGATGTTTTGTCCTGGGCCCCGTGCAACCTCTTGGTGGCCTTGGGTAAAGAACTATAGCTTACACTAACCTTCTTAAATTCGATATTACTCCTGAGCGTCGATTACTTCCTAAGGAATCAAATATCAACATACAAGGTCTAAAAGAGACAAAAATAACAAGGTAAATGTAATTCACCAGAGTCCTTTGCCGGCTGATAATTTAAGCAAATAGAAAACTAAAGTTATTCCGAAAAATTATGCATGAATACTCTAAACAAATCATGTAAACTGTATATTTCGAATGAATTTCAGTTTAAGAAGTAAGGATGGATCTAAGAGCGGTTTAGAACGGATACAGTTACACAGTGAAACCAAAGCTAATGCTGACAGGGCATTTCAATGAGACGACAACGTTTGACTTACCGCTTTGGAATTGGGCTTACACTCTCTCGAGACTTTCTCCTCTTTGCAGTTCTCTTCTTACTCTCTGTGACAGTCTTCATCAAAGTTTTGTCGAAGTCATCCGTATCGCTGTCTTTATTCTTCTCACTATCCTTTTCTGCACTATCCTTTTCTGCACTATCCTTTTCTTCACTTGATTCCTGAAGTGAAGACAATATACTGTGATCTCTCTATTAAGACCCTGGGGGCTAATTTTGGACACCTTTGAGGGGGTAGGGCTTATTGGAGAAAAAGCTTAAAAGAAGGTGGGACTTATTAGAGAGCGGACTTATTAGAAAGCGGACTTATTAGAAAGGGGACTTATTAGAGAGGGGACTTATTAGAGAGGGGACTTATTAGAGAGGGGACTTATTAGAGAGGAGACTTATTAGAGAGGGGACTTATTAGAGAGCGGACTTATTAGAGAGGGGACTTATTAGAGAGGAGACTTATTAGAGAGGGGGCTTATTAGAGAGGGGGCTTATTAGAGAGGGGACTTATTAGAGAGGGGACTTATTAGAGAGG